GAGAACTATATTTCATATTTAAACTCTCTATCTTTACAATAGCCCCTTGCTATATATTTACGCACAAATTCATCACTCCCCAGTTCTATACAACAAGAGATGGCGAGATTATTAGCCGCAGCGGCAGTTGGCAATGGCTCTGTGCCCATTTCGACCTCGCAGTTCGCGGCAACTCTGTTCGTTCTCTGCGTTGCCGTCACTGTTGTGAGCATGATCGTCTTCAACTGTGCCGAAGGGAGGAAGAAGAAGAAGAAGGCCGAAAGACAATCGTGAACGTTAGTTAGGTACTCCGCCGGAGGTGCGTAAGAAAGAAGGCTTCCGGGGGGAGTTCAGGGACGGGGCGGCGACTTCGTTGCTGGTGCTGCTGCCGCGTCGTTATGAACTCTGGCTGTTGTAGTGAGGTTGCGGTGGTGGATGTGGAGGGGCGGCGGCGGCGATGTGGTGGAGGTGGCGCGATGTGGCGGAGGAGATGTGGTGGAGGTGGCGCGGTTGCGGCGGAGGAGGCGTGTGGGCGGAGGGTAATGAGCCAGTGGCCACGGCTAATTTAAGCTGGGGATTTTTAATTTTTTTTTTTTTTGGAGTTTTATCGTGGTGTTAGCATATCGTTCGGGTGGTTAGTATCGTGCCGCCCCTGCTATCTTGTAGCAATTTGCGGTGATAAGTTTTTTTCCCCTTCAATTGTTTAGTGATAGTCTGTTTTAGGGGTATAAAATAATATGTACAGGCATGAACTAGTTTTCGGTCTCATTGTATATATTCGCTATTTTTTTTGTCTCTTTGCAGCGATCACAAAAAGCCGAACTTGTTCATGTGGTCGCTTTGATTTCATCTATCTACGCATTAGGTTGTGGAGCTATTGCTGGATAAAGATCAATGCTCGTATTTGGACAAATTCTAAATCCTCTCTAACTTGCATCATCTGCTTATCCTATATCTGTACAAGGATTAACTTATTGTTCCTTTTTCCCCTCCCAAAACAAAGCAGCTATCGTACTCAAGCGAAAATTTAACGCATCTTCAACGAAACTTGCAAGCAGAATGTAAAGAAAATCTTGCGCAGACTTGGCAAAGCAATATGCATGATTTTATATCTGTATCAGGATTAACTTCCTTTTCCCCCGCTCCAAAGCAAAGCTACGACTATCGTAGTCAAGCGAAATTTTAATGCATCTGCAACGAAACTTGCAAGCATTTTGCAAATAAACTCTTTCGCAGACTTGGCAAAGCAATATGCATTATTTTTTTAATTCCTCTAGTGGAATTTCTAAAGATATAGAAACTTGACGTGTATAATATTATAAACATAAAAAATTAACATGTGTTATATCACAAGCTCCACATGTCTCTTTATTCTATCAGAAAATGACACGTGGACACATATTCTCCTCAAATTAAAACTACACATAATTAAAAAAATTTCTAATAATCAAATATTTTTAATCACTAGCATATTAAACTATCTATAATTAAAAAATCTCATAATTATCATACTTCCTTTAAAAATATGAGTTCAAGAAAATCTTTTTATGGTCAATATTACCCTTAGCTTTTTTTGAATATTACAATGTTATCCTAATCTATTCTAATTATCATATCTTCTTTGAATTAGTAACTAAATAATTTATTCTATTCATAATAAGACTTAACATGTTATTGAATAAAAGAGATATGTTTCATATAATTTAAATCCTTTACTTATTTTAGTTTGTAGAGAAATCTAAAAAATATATGCTAAGCAACACCTAAAAGTTTTTAGACTTTGTAAAAAACATTCTTTAAGATTTTTTTTAATTACAAAAACGTCTCTACAAATATAAAAAATTTATTAAAGCATATTAAAAATTATAAATTTTATTTATTTTAATTTAGTGAGAAATTTAAAAAACATATGCTAGCTAGAAACTAAAAGGCTTTTTACTTCGGAGAAAAGATCTTATAAGTTTTGAAATATTAAAAACACCCCTAAAATTTAAAATTTATAAAAAACACCTTAAAAATTTTAAACCTATAAACACACTAAAAACCTACAAATAACAGAAACAACCCCAATATTTTATGAAATTTGCAATACACACTCTAAACTTTTTATAAATTGCAAAATAAAATCCTTAAAATTATAAAATTTATAAAAATCCTGATAATTTTTAACCTAGCTAATAGTACATTGAAAATATAGGAATTATAAATATTCCCTACATAATTTATAATATATAAAAAATACCCTTAAAGTTTCAAAAATTACAAACAAACCTTTAAAATTCAAAATTTACAAAAAACACCCTAAGAATTTCAAATTCATTAGTAAATTGAAAGTATATAAATTATAAATAGTTTGCAAATAATTTATAATTTGTAGAAAAGACCTATAAGTTTAAAAAATTATAAAAAGTATTTCAAAAATTATAAAAAAAACACCATGAGATTTTCTTACTTATAGACATTAAAATAAATATACAAAATTTCTAACAACTCCTAGAAAATTAAAATTTTATATAAAATATCATACACTTTTTAAAAGTATAGGTTTAGAAAAAACTTTTTATGGTAAATATTACCCATAACTTTTTTAAAAAGAACATTACTAACTAAAATTTATTAAAATTTAGTACATTACAAATTACCCCTCCAAAGTTTGAAATTTTTTAATGATTTTTTATAATTCTTTAATTTCAATGTAATGTTTAATAGTTTTGTGTATTTATAAATTATAAAATTTAGGGTGTTTTTTTACAAATTTTAAAACTTTTGAGGGTGTTTTTTTTGGTCAATGAATTAATGCTTTATTCATCTTCCAAGTGTGTAAAGTGCTGTACATCAAAAACCAGGATTAATAACCTGGTAAACAAGAGAAAATGTATAGTTACAACTTCACTATCATTTCCTTTATATGTGCAGGAAAATCATCATTCAAAATTCTAGTAAAGATGGATAATTTGATAGCACGTAAGAGAGTATCAGAAGTTCTTGTAATCCCCTGAAAGATCCTGACATTCCGCTCTTGCCAGATAAAGTAGACAGCCACAGATAGAGCCATTCGCTTCAAATCCTTCTTGAATCCTTTTCCTTTCAAGCAGCTAGAATACCATCTGCTGAGCTGATCCCAAGTACAAGTTCTCCATGTATATCCCAACCAGCTGATCCCAAGTACAAGTTCTCCATGTATATCCCAACCAATCCATAACATTGTTCCACACTTCAGCCAAATATTGACAATCAAAGAACAGATGCTTGCAATTTTCAGGTTGTCTAGAACACAGAACACAGCAATTTGTGCTGAGAATTCTAAATCGACACAACCTTTCTTGTGTGAGAAGCCTAGAATGGAAGGCTAACCAAAGAATTATTGAATGTTTAGGGTAATTCAGCCTCCCCCAAGTAGTTTCAGTCCAGTTTATTGTAGTAGAGGAATTGGTTAAGATATTATATACCAAAGATAGCCGAAGTTTACCATTGCTACTGCAGCTGTTAAGAATGTTCAGCACATCATCTGCATTGCCATATTTTTCTATGATCATGTTTCTAGTTTTGAGGAGTTGCTTCCACATCCAAGAGTCATTATCCCTCTGCTGAACTTGCCAAACATTTGAATTTTTTAGATAATGACCATGGATCCATTTTATCCAGAGAATGCCTTTCTTTTGATAAATCATCCATAGTAGCTTCACAGCAGATGCTTGGTTCCATACTTTGGCTGAAAACAGTCCCAAGCCCCCCTGTTTCTTACTCAGACATACTGAATCCCAGGATATTAGATGAATTTTCTGTCCCCATAGAAATGCTAAGCAGAGCCTGTCAATTTTTTCAAGGATCTTAGTCGGAGAATATAATTGCTGAACCAAAAGGTTTGTATCCCCAGTATGACTGATTTAATCATTTGAATTCTCCCCGCATAGGATAAGCTTCTATTCTGCTCCCATCTTTGAAATTGATTGGTAATTTTGCTTATAAGAGAAGAACATTCAAAGTGGGTTATCCTTCTTGTTGTCAAAGGCAGACCCAGATATCTCATTGGTAGTGTTCCCTCTGAAAAGCTCAAATATGTGCATATTTGGGTCTTTAAGTTATCTTCAATACCACACAGGTAGACTGCACACTTACTGGGGTTTGCTTCCAGACCTGAAACTTGACAGAATTCTTGCAAGCAAGTGTTTAGACTGATGATTGAGCTCATATCAGCTTTACCAAACATTAGTAAGTCATCTGCAAAAATCAGATGTGTTAGCTTCATTTTAGAACATTTTGGATGAAATTTGAATCTTCTGTCTTCCTTGAGCATCTCTAATCTTCTTGACAGGTATTCCATGCCTATCACAAAGAGATGGGGGGGAGAGAGGGTCTCCCTGTCTCAGCCCTCTAGCACCATGGAAGTAGCCATGCAAAGATCCATTAAGGGATAGAGAAAATTTAGGAGAGGTGATACACTCCCAGATCCAGCCTATCATTTTTCCAGGGAATCCTAAACCCTCAAGCATGGCCTTAATGAACCCCCAATTCATAGTATCAAAAGCTTTCCTTAAATCCACATTTATAATGACTCTGAGAGATATATGTTTTCTTCCATAGTGCTTGATGAGTTTATGGGCTAGGAGGAAATTGCTTGAGATGAGTCTACCTTTAACAAATGCACTCTGTGCATCATTAACCAAGAACCCCATGATATTCTGGATCCTGTTAGCAATAATCTTTGTGATGATTTTGTATATGATGTTGCAGCATGCTATTGGTCTGAAGTCAGATGCTGAATTTGGATTGAGGGTTTTAGGGACCAAGGTGATGGCTGTAGAGTTTAAAGCACCAAGTAATTTACCTGTACTAAAGAATTCCTCAATTGCCTTGTATATATCTTCATTAATGATTTCCCATGCAGCCTTGAAGAATGAGGCACTAAAGCCATCTGGACCTGGGGCCTTACCATTTGGCATAGTAAAGACAGCTTGTCTAATTTCATCTCTGGTGACAGGTTTGCTAAGCTCATCACGTTGAATAGAGGATAGAATTGGTCATTTAGAGATAACCTCAGGGTCAGGAGGTGAAGTGTGAATTGTAGTTCCAAGCAATTTTTTGTAGTATTGGATAAATTCAGAAATGATTCCTTGGGTTTTTGTAATCCTAATACCATTTTCAGTATATATAGACATCACCCTATTGTGGTGTCTTTTGTTTTTCATGACAGCATGAAAGTACTGGGTACTCTTGTCACCTTGCAATCCCCATTTAATATTGGCTTTTTGCCTGTAGAAAGAATTTTCACAATCAAGTAATTTTGTATATTTCCTGATGTGCTCCTTTTCCCTAACAATCAGACCTGGATTAAAGAGGTCAGAATTCAGTTGAACTTGAATATCATACAGCTCTGCTTTTGCCCTTGATACATGATTACTAATGCACATAAAATGTCTTTTATTCAGCTCTTTAGCACAGGCTTGAGATTATTGAGCTTGCTTTGAACCTTGTACATATAATATCCAGGAATATGCTGATTCCAGACTGACCTGACTGCTGGTAGAAAGTCAGGGTGTTTAGTCCACATAGCAAAGAATTTAAAAGGTCTCTTGCCTTCACAATTCACTTCATCACCTGTTGTTAGCAACCCAGGGGAGTGATCAGAGCAGTGTGGCATCAGATATTCAACCTGGCTTGATGTATATTGGAAAATCCAGTCATCATTTACTAGAATTCTATCCAACCTACTCCATACTCTTGTAGAAGCATCCTGTTTGTTACTCCAGGTGAAAAAACAACCAGTGGATTTAATATGCTTTAATTGGCTTGTATCAATAAAATTCTGAAAGTCTTCAACCTCTGTATCTGTAATTTGAGCCCCTCCTATCTTCTCTTCACTACTAAGAATGGCATTGTAGTCCCCTCCTACTAACCAGGGATCTGAAACATTCCTTTTGAAAACCATAAGATCATTCCAGAGAATTTTCCTGCCTTCTGGATGATTGAGAGCATATATGGCTGTGATTAAACACTTTAGCCTTCCATCTTTTGATTCCACTTTGCATGTAATATACTGATCAGAACTATTGATATTCTGTACAGTTAAAAAGTTACTATCCCAAAGAAGCCATATTCTAGCCTTGTTAGCAGTATGATGCACATTAGAAATCCAATTCCAATCTTTGATAACTTTTTTAGCAATGATCTTCATTTTCTCCATGGACATTTTGGTTTCTAGAAGAGCAAGAAAGGAGATTTTATAATCCTGAATGAACTGCTTGACTATCAAGTGCTTAGAGGATTTGTTAAATCCTCTAATGTTCCAAAAAGCCAAATGCATTTATTGGAAGAGACCACCCATTTCATTACTATAGGGGTCTAAATCAAGTATCTGGTGCTCCAAACTTGAGAATTTTGATGGAAAGATTGAATTACCTGTCTCATTAAAATTAATTCTCTTAGCTGCATTAGCTCTGGTAACACTAGTGAAACCAGTAGTATTGATAGTGGGAGAGTAATGACTTCCAGCCATACTTCTTGACTGAGCAGCTAAATTAGATGAACCTCTTGATATACCAGCAGGACCTTGAGTGACAAAGCCAAATATACCTGTTTTTTCACCAACTTCAGATGTAGGTAGCTGAGTTATAGTATCAGCTTGAGTCTGTGCACGTTTACTTTTGAGGGTGTTTATTTTGTAGTTTTCTAAATTTTAATTGTGTTTTCAGTGTAATGCACAGATATATCAATTAATGATGATATTAAAGAGTAAGTCGTTCTTAAGATTATTAGACCATAGTTAAGTATGCATATAACTATTCCTAGTTAGTATAGTTTATATATGCAAAAATTTTTAGACAATCTATATAGTGGTTAATTTTTTTTGACTTTAATGTACTAATTTCTATAAATTATATTTAATGTGAACCCACCATGTAATTTTGACTGTGGTCATCATAATTTTATTACGTTTGATTGATTGACTATATACGCATATAGACCATAGATTACTATACTTTCTCACATGAATTAATATTTGGTGCTTAATAATTTAAATTATTACTTTTAAATTTAATATAAAGAGAAGCTCTAATAACATTTATTTATTTACCTATAGCATAATATAATCTCAGATCCTATTTTTTTGCTAGAGATTTATTCCATAGTTACGTGTATCAAATTAGTAACTAAAATAATAATTATTTATGTTTTAAATTAGGATGATTATAGTTGGTCACTCACTATAAAATTTTAATGAAGATATATATCTTACTTTCTATAGCTATTTGTACTGTCCATGTATATTTTATAAATTAGTTCTTAATTTAACATATTAAATTACTTTCCCTTTATAATAATTTCTTCTTTAACTATTAGACTGTGTAATCATCATATCATCATTATAGATTAGCACCACATCGATAACGCACTTTTACATAACAAACCCTAACTCTAAACCTAACACAAAGACCAAAATACTTAGTATAATTTTTTATGTGATGGTCGTGGTTGATGGTTGCGGTTGCGTGCGTAGGATGATAATATTTGGTTGATGTGAATTGCCGGTGGTAGTTGGCTTGTGTTGTGTTGTTGTGGTGCCGCTGCGTGCGTTGATGGTTAGTTATTGTGATCGCTTGGTGGTGATTGGTCGTAGGTGGGGGAGCGGGAAGGAGTGTGGAGTTTGGTGGTTGGTGCGTGATGTAGGGCGGGAGGGCGGTGGGGTGGGCGCTGTGGTGGAGTGTGCGGTGCAATGCATGTATGTGGGGTTGTGCCCGATGCGTTGCCGGTGCCATCGCGTGCATGCGTTATTAATATTTTTATGATGATCGGTGGTGTTGATGGTGCGTGCATGCGTACAGTGATGGCATAGTAATTGGTTGGTGAATTGGTTAGTTAAGTCGTGGTCCAACTGTGTTTGTTGTGGTGCTGTACGTGGCAGATTGATGGTTTGGTTATGGTGATTGCTTGGGGGGTTGATTTGGTCATGGTTGTGGAGGGGTAATGGAAGTGCTGGATTTGGTGGTGGTGGTGAGGTAGTGGTGAGGGGAGGGGTGGGGTGGCGGTCGTGCTGGGCGTGTGGAGTTTGTGTTGCTCATGCGTGCATGCGTGCACGCGTGTATGTGTGCGTGCGTGCAGTATACGCGTATCGTGCATGATACACGGTCATGAGCCTATTGTACTAGCGTACCAATACGCGCATATCGGTGAGAGAAATTGTGCTGTGTGTCGGCGTTTATTGTTGTAAAAAATTATGTTCGTAGGCATGCGTTGTTAGTGGTGATTCTGTGTTTCATGCCGTTGTTGTAAAAATTGGTGATGTGCGGTGCGGTAAAAGTTTAAACTTTTTTTTAAAAAAAAAACATATTAGAATTCATGCACATTGATACTCTCTTATTTGCCTTATACTTTGAATGTCATGGCATGTTAGTTTTATAGTTTTTGATTTATCAATGCAGGCCGGACTTCTAGACAAGGCTGGCTGGTGATGAGGATGGATGATCAACGAGGACTGATTGTTTTTTACCTTGAAAACAATGAATGATGTGTTATGTGTTTGATATAAACAATACTTATCATGAGTAGTGATACTGTATAAAAACGCCTTACTATGTTGGGATAGTTTAATTAAAATTATGCGTTATATATTGCGTCGAGAATGAATATATACTGCGATTGAACAGGATTTTAAAATTTATTATATTATCTGTACAGGTTCTTTTCAATTTTCAAATATTTTTTTTTAAAAAAATATGGAAGATTTTAAAGCAACGGCATTTTATCCGGTCGCCTAATAATACACTTTAGCCGACGGAATAGATTAATATTAACCGACGGATTTCTCCGTCAGCCTAAAGTCGAGTTAATTAGCAGACGGAATATTCGTTTTTTTATTTTTTTATTTTTCAAAAATAAGTTATAGCGACGGATTTTCCAGTCAGCTAATAGTTTTACTTAGCGAGACTTTTCCGTAGCTAAAAGAATTTTTAGTACGGAAAATATCCGGTCGCTAAAGTTTTTTTTTAATTTTTAAATAAAGTAATGCGACGGATTATCCTGTCCGTAATTTGTTCAGTCGCCCTTAGAATTTAGCCGCACGGAATATCGCTCGCTTTAAAACAAATTTCAGCTACCTTTCTATACGCGATCTTTTTTAGCGAGTAATTTATCAATTTCCGTCGCTAAAGGGTATTAGCCGAACGGATTTTCGACTTTAGCGACGGATTTGTTTCCGTCGCTAAAAGTTATGTTTCCAGCAAGTGTACTTTGTGTAGTGTTTCAGTTAGAACATTTTTTTGAAACAAGAAGTAGGCGTGACGGTACCCTACTCATAAATCTGATATATAAAAATAAGACGATTACAGAAGGATGAGTGGAAAATAGAGGCACAAACTGCTACCTTAGTGGGGATTCGCGACAACGCTAACGGCCAACGCCTAAAGGATAATAGGCCAGGAACCGCTAGACAACAGTCCATAAAATAGCAAAATTACAAAAAGTTTACTGCCACGACTTGTTGGCCTGGCACAAGGCAAATAATATATATATATATTATTATATATATATATATATATTTGATATATATATATTATATATTATATTATTATATATTTATATATATATTATATATAATATATATATAATTATCATATATATTTAATATATATATTTATTTATATTAATATATATATATATATTATAATTATTATCATAATATTATTTTTAGTTCAATCACATTGGTTGAGTTTTAAAGGTGAGGTATTTTAATTATATATATATATATATATATTATAATTTATTAAAAAGGGTCATATAATCTTATATAATAAAATTGATCTAATACTGAATAGTAATATCGTTATTAGAAAAAATTCTTCATGAATCAATATGTTCTTTACGATATATAAGCTATGCACTCTAAATTCTTGCATCTTTTATAGAGCCAAAAAAATTTGAATACAAACCTCTAACATGTTGCTCTCATAATAGCAAAATCCACTTAGTAGATATGGAAATTCCAGATGAGTTATGTGTCCTATATACAACACAATTGTCTTAGGCAAGTGAGTTATAATAGTATTTTTTATTCATACCATTTGGGATAAGATTTGATAGGGACCTTTCATCAAATAAAAAAAATTATATTTAGAGCACATGACGAAATATATCATAATCTCCATGCTCTAATTTTGTAATAAAATAATTTTTTATACTTTTAGTTTTACTTCTATGATATAGAGAACGAGCTATAAAATTGAATGAGAACATTAGATAATATAAATATGAGTATAACAATAACTAAAAGTTAACGTGAATATGAGTCAAACAACAACTAAAAGTTTAATGAACATATTGCAAGTAAATTCATATGCAAATTCATTTACGAATTGAATGATCATCCATCTTTTGAAGACTTTAAGATACTAATAAATAGAGATATTATACTAGATTAATGTGTTTATAACTCACAAATAGTAGATCACGTGGTCACAGTCTGGGTTGAAGGAAACAATGATAATATTTTATTTGAGAGAAAGATCATTGAGTTGATAATCATTCCTACAAAATACTTTATTCTTTTTTTATACTATTTTTATTAATTTAAATAATCATGATATTCAACCATGTGCATCTTAACTAGTATATTTAAATATAGAAGCTAAAGTAAATAATTCACGTAAAGAGCCTCAGCTCTCTACATAAAATCATAGATTAATTTTAGTAACCCACTCAAGCTTGAGCATATTATAGATCCCCCCCTCTAAACAATGAAAATTTAAGATTACTCCTTAAATTTTCCTCACTTAAGCCCCTCTCAAATATGGGGTGTGTTTCAAACCTAACTCTTCTCACTTTAATTCCTAAAAGCTAACATTTAGGTCTAACATATGACATGACAAGAAGGTGACTATGAAAAGACCAAAATATCACTCAGCCATAAAAATTACTTTGTTTTTTTAGGACAAGAAAAAGAGAGGAGAGAAGGAGCAAAAAAAATGTAAATTTAAAATAGGTTTTTTACTAGTTGGGGGTTTCATTTAATTTAATGATTTTGAAATGGGTATTTTAGTTATTTTATATTTCAAATAATGTCAGGGGATTTAGTGAGAAAAGTGTGAAAGGTCAGGGGGGAGGGGGTTTGTGAAATCCCTATAGTTAAGGGGATTTTCTTTAATTTTTAAAGTTTAGTTGGGCTATCTATAATATGCACAAACTTTAGGGTGGTTTTCTCAAGTTAAAATAGTTGAGGGTTGGTCAAAATCCACATGTCTCTCTATCTTATTAAAAGATAACATGTGAACACCTAATCATATATTCACCTAATTAGAATTCTCATCAAATTAAAATTACATATTATTAGAAATTTTTAATAATCAAATTTTTAATATTTTATAATCCTTCTCAGATTATAACTATCCATAATTAAAAAAGCCTCATAATTATCATATATTAAGATATAGAATTTAAAGAAAAAAACTAATGTAAAGAGCCTCTCTACATAAAATCATGAATTAATTTTAGAAAACCTCCCTC